CCTGAACTAAATGCTGATGGGACATACTCGCAAACGTGTTCTGTTCCAGTCCCTTGATAGGATGATCATATGCTGACGTTCTGTGGTGAGGTAGAAAAAACATATTTCTGTGTCCTTGTTCGTGAGTTAGATGAAATGCGTGCTTTCTGAGTGTTTGTTCCTGGGAGGCCTTTGATGTTCACTGCACGTTTTGTGAAACTATAAAACTACTTTCCTCACGGATGGCAATGGAACAAGATTCGTAATCCAAGTAGGAAATAAGTATTAATAGTCACCCTATTGCATTGAATTGCATGTTTGAAGACTTTTGAAACACCAAATAATATTTTTGGAGAAAAGCAGAACAATACACGTTTGCAGGTTTTGTTCTAGCTACTTTTTCTTTCCTGAAACAAAAAAAACACGCGACTCAATCTCGAGGCAGTTTCAAGGTTGTGGGAAAATAGTTTTCGTTCACTATGAAAAAACATCAAATATTCAGTATGAAAACATCAAACCAAACACAACAAAGTAGTCCAGGAGTAAATAAGAATCATCCGGAAACACGACATATACGTGGAGGTCGTGTACAGGAGTACCGTACTGGGAAATTGAGTTGGGTTATTGCCGCTTTTGGAGATATAATTCCCGTCGTGCGTGAGTTGGGTTAAACGCCGCGTTAATAATATTTCCAGTAGTGAGTGAGTGAGTTGGGTTTAACGCAATTTCAATAATATTTCCTTGAGTGAGTGAGTGAGTGAGTGCGTTAAACGCCGTTTTAACAATATTTCCCGTAATGAGTGAGTGAGTTTGGTTTAATGGAGCTTCAATTATATTTCATTGAGTGAGTGAGTGCGTTAAACGCCGCTTTAACAACATTTCCCGTAATGAGTGAGTGAGTTGGGATTAACGGAGCTTCAGTAATATTTCCTTGGGTGAGTGAGTGAGTGAGTGCGTTAAACGCCGCTTTAACAATATTTCCCGTAATGAGTGAGTGAGTTGGGTTTAACGCGGCTTTAACCGGTTTTTTTCTGATAGCAGTGCTGACCAGAATCATAATCAGGGCGAGACTTGCATTAAATCCACAATCACGGGGTAAGGCACGCACGCAGTTATTATCATACATCAGGGGCGGTCGGGTGGTTTGTGTGGTTAAAGCGTGTGTGTGGTTAAAGCGTTTGCTCGTCCCGTCAAAGACCCGGGTTCGATTCCCGACATGGGTACAATGTGTGAAGCCCATTTCTGGTGTCCCCCGCCGTGATATCGCTGGAATATTGCTAAAAGCGGCGTCAAACCATACTCACTCACTCACTCACTCACTTATCATACATCATGCAAAACCAGCCTTCGCTATAACAGTAGCGGGGTCAACAGGAATTATTACCCTTTGATTTGTTAACGAAAAGCCCTCTATTGCCTTGTGCTTATCATATTCACTGTTCAGATTTGATTTGACGAATAAGAACAAGGGTGATTGGTTTACGCTGGTTTGGACAGTATTACCTTGAGTGGGTAAGTGAGTGAGTATGGTTTTACGCCGCTTTTAGCAATATTCCAGCAATATCACGGCGGGGGACACCAGAAATGGGCTTCACACGTTGTACCCATGTCGGGAATCGAACCCGGATCTTCGGCGTGACGAGCGAACGCTTTAACCACTAGGCTACCCGACCGAGTGGGTAAGTGAGTTGGGTTTAAGTGGGTGAGTGGGAAATGTACCTGTGCCAACTGGAACATCCAGGCCTCCCCGTATTAGAGACCTACAACACTGATCATATCATTACAGCGATACGCGTGGTCACCGTACAATACGAACGTTGATATGTACCTCATGGCGACACTGAAACCAACCAATAGCACCGAAGTTCTTTGCAATAATGTATGCGACTCACTGTGACCTATTACCGATATCTTTGATACTGTATTCAACGTGAAATTTTACATCAATTTATAAGTTTCATATAGATATCATCCTTACTGTAACATGCAACCGAATCTGTGTTTCCCATACGTTAATCACCGCACAGCGTCAGCAACATTTATAGATATGCATGCCCCGATTCCGGGTTAGAATTGGTCTTCAGAAATCCATACTTGTCGTAACAGGCGTCTAACGGTTGATGCGATGCTAATGATGTCAATCACTGAATTGTCTAGTCTGAACTCTATTTTCGTTTGACCTCGGAACCTGTGTGAAGTCCTAGCTGGATAAGTGCCTGAAGAATGGATGGATGGATGGATGGATGGATGGATGAATGGATGGATGGATGGATGGATGGATGGATGAATGAATGGATGGATGGATTGATGGGTGGATGGATGGATGGATGGATTGATGGGTGGATGATGGATGGATGGATGGATGGATAATATATGTAGTTGACAGAGCAAGTCTGTGTGAAGTCCTAGCTGGATAAGTGCCTGAAGTTGGATGGATGGATGGATGGATGGATGGATAATATATGTAGAACATATTAAACATTATATGTGTTATTGTACCACATCCGTATGTGCAGACAATCCAGTGATTGATATCATGAGCATCGATCCACGTAATTGGGATACGATGACATGCATCAACCAAGTCAGCAAGCCTGACCACCCGATCCCGTTAGTCGCCTTTTACGGCAAGCAAGGGTTGCTGAAGACCTATTCTACCCCGGATTTTAACGGGTGGCGGTGATATGCATCTATATCCCAACATACAGGCAGATAGAGATGCCATGTTGTGATCAAAGTATCAAGGTTCAACAGGCAAGAGGAATGCGTCCTACTAATGATATGATATGTAATATTTATCTTTGTTGTTTAGATGTCTGCATCTATGAATAACTCACTCGTTGCCCGCATATTCATCGATATTCGATATACATAAACCAATCAATAGATCGTAACACGTTGTGAGATAGCTAAATTGCGGTTAATATCACAGGAGAGCGAGTGAGTATGATTTTACACTGCATTTAGCAGTATTCCAGCAATATCACGACGAGGGACACAAGTAACGGACTTCACGTATTGTACCCCTATGGCGAATCGAACCCGGGTCTTCGGCGCGAGAAGCGAACGCTTTAACCACTGGGCTACTGATTAATGCAGTTCTGTTATGCAGTGTATTGTTACTGAACAGACTATGGTTATCTCTCGCTCGCCATCTACCTTATACGTCTCTCTCCTGTGTTCGCATGGAGACGATGGTTTTCAAAGAAGTTTTAAGCTCTCCCACCCCGATCCCTTCTCCTCTCACGGGGGCGGTCGGGTAGCCTAGTGGTTAAAGCGTTCGCTCGTCACGCCGAAGACCCGGGTTCGATTCCCGACATGGGTACAATGTGTGAAGCCCATTTCTAGTGTCCCCCGCCGTGATATTGCTGGAATATTGCTAAAAGCGGCGTAAAACCATATTCACTCACTCACTCACTCTCCTCTCACACATCTCTCTTTCCTGTCTGTCTCTGTGTGCGCCTCTCCCCCCTTTCCGATTGTACATCTCTCTCTCTCTCTCTCTCCCTCTCTCTCTCTCTCTCTCTCTCTCTCTCTCTCTCTCTCTCTCTCTGAATGTTCTCTCAAACAAATTTTATCAGATAACTGATCCTTGAATATTCTCCTGCTATCTTCACACTCTTATACCTTAAATCAATTGCGTGTGGTGGATCTTTTGTCCCTTGACAAATAGTAAAGGTTTCCTATCCTTAGTCTACTATCAAGAAAGAGGTCAGGTTAATGGTGATTACTCATAGCTATAAAACAAAACGTCTGAGTCATCGTAGATAACTTCGTATCAGTGATATTAAGGAGTAAAGTAACACTAAATGTTTTCTGTACTGTACTTAATCCCAGTTTAGAAAGGCGAAATCGGTGTAACTGTTCCAAGTTCCCATGTCTCTAAACATTAACTCTTTACCTCAAATTATTTGCATAAATAATGTAAAATGGTCAGTATTACCGTTCCCGAAGTTATGTCTGGTTACCAACAAGGTACCGTCGCGTTAAAAAAATAATGCGTGCGTTCGTGCTTGTGTCTGCTCGTACCAGTCCGGACTAATGCCGCTGTTATAGAGCTAGCTCTCTGACATATTTTGCCGCAGTTTAACATGGATACCCCGACTCCGAGCCAACCAGTCCTTGTTTTAGCCCTTTTATGCTGAGCGCCAGGCAGGGTACCAACAAGTACCATCTTTAAACGTCTTTTGGCATGACGCGGCCGGGTATCGAACCCCGGACCTTCCGCTCTCCGGGCACCACTAGATCACGGAGGCGGCCCCCACGTTAATTGTGTCTGTGTGGCTGATTGCTCCAGTCCGGACGCTAGTCCACTGAGATACCATACTGTAGTGTAACATGGATACCACTCAGACACATTATACTGACTCCGAGGCGACCAGTCCTTGTCTTAAAGCCGAGCGCCAGGCAGGTTAACATCAAGTACCATCTTTTAAAGTCTTTGATATGAAGCGGCCGGGAATCGAACAACCGACCTTCCTCTCCCCGGACAGGCGCTCTGTCCTCTAGCCCGCGGAAGCGGCCAGACCCTGCCTGGCTGTTAGTCATGCTTTAGCATTTAGTCTCCTTTCAACAGTGCCGTAAAGTCAGTCGAAATACAAGGAATTGGGATGATGGGGGCCCTTTTATCATGTTTAGGCACACTAGAAAATTTCAAATGTAAAGGTTAACTTTATTTATATCGCTGGATCACGTTTTCGGACGGCCATATTTATCGCGATTACACGCGCTATAACGGGAAGTGTAGCATCACACAGACATTATAATTACTCAGATGGTGGCTTGTTATTCAGAGAAAGTTGTCTTTTTAAAGTGATTGAGATGTTTTACAGTTGTTCATGTGATTAGAGAGAAAACTATGAATTTTTCTTAAGCGTCCGAAAACCCATAACACGGAGATAATTATAATATTCAATTTATTATCCAAACCTGGATATCAGTCTGATCGCATATAAAGGTCACTAAATGATAACAGTCGTCTCTACCCAGGGCACACAGATAACGATGAAGATTACACCGCTCTGTCACACTTTCCCTATTTGAAATACAAGACGGGACTACATGATCTCGCTTCATCACAAAATGACATGGTAACTGTATATACTTGTTCAATATAAGTACTGTCATCGTACTGCACCCACCATGGCCAGTAACGTAGCATTGCCTCAGTGTAGAGTGTGCCAGACACCTTACAGGTTTGGGGGGCCAGAGCCCTACCTACTGCCATGCCTCCACTCCGTGTGTAAAGCGTGTCTGGATTCAGACATCGAAGGCACGATGTCGTGCTCGATCTGCCGAGAAACTTTCTTTAAGACCGTTCGGGCTAAGGACGCAGTGACGGCCAGAGCGGTGTTTCTGGCCACAGCTGTCCATTCCGCCTCGGAGTTGTTCTGTACCAACAGGGGTGACGGTAACCAAGCCTTTTCTTGGTGTCAGGAATGTGAAGCATTTCTTTGTCACGACTGCGAGACATCTCATTCTGAAAACAAATCAAGCAAGACCCACCCAACAGTCTCCGTTGAAGAGCTGGTGAAAATCGGCAAAGATTACCGAAGAAAACAGCAATGTAAAGAACACAAGACCTACCCATTAGCTATGTTTGACCACGACTGTGACGAGCTGCTGTGTCTTGCATGCAGAGTTCAAGGTCATGAAGGATGCGATGTGGGGTCTATAGAAGGGGTATACCGTTTCCTAAAAGGGCAAACTTTACCTGAGTACATTTCAAAACTGACTGAAAAGATGGCCGCGAACAACGCCGCTGAAGTTGCCCTGACGGAATTTGATGCCGAACTGGATCGGAGCCGTGCCCGGATAAAAGGATCCATCAGACACACCTTCCAGGAGCTCCACGAGGGGCTCCAGCAGCGAGAGAAGGAAATCACTCAGCGTCTGGACCAATACCTGGACATACTGAAGAGGGAAAACTCTGAAAGTCTCGCTGAAGTGCGGTTGATGACCGAGAGATGTGACACAGTCCTGGACTTCAACCAGAAGTGTCTGAACCTAGCCACTCCTTCGGATTTATTCAGTATGAAGAGGACCATAGAAGCTAGGACGACTTCCTGTACTCGAGTCAAGTTGCCGCTTGTGAGAACCTCGGATTCTTTGCCCATGTTTACAAAGAATGGTTTAGATGATGTCAAGGCAATGGTTGCTGCATATACTTGCCTGTCTGGGGACTACTTACCAACGGACGGATTAGAAGGTGAGACTTTCCACCAACTACATAATGTATCAATTAAATCTCTAATATAATTAAAAACTTCATTATATGGTTGTATGCATTGACAGGTTCTATCTAACACTAACAGAAAACTGAACTACTAACATAGTATAAATCGCTTTTTCGGATGGAAGACATGTAACTTGTCAGCGAACCAGAGTAGTTTGTTGATACAATAATAAGGGTCTTTTGTCATATCCGTGCAGAAAACTTCCCTGATAATGAAACAGCCCAGCGCTACAAGAGGGAAAAACAGCTTCTCCACTGGAGGACCGAACTGGAGAAGGTGAGTGAGTGAGTGAGTGAGAGAGTGAGTAAGTGAGTGAGTAAGTGAGTGAGTGAGTGAGTGAGTGAGTGAGTGAGTGAGTGAGTGAGTGGGTTTGGGTGGGAGTGGGGAATCCCTTCGGGCTTTCCTCCCACATTACGCTGACACGCCGTGATATAACTGGAAACTGTTGTTCAGAGCGGCGTCAAACCCAATCAATGTCATATTATACATGTCCAAGGTGCTATCAGAGCGTGTTAGCATCACGTGGGATTTAAGCTTGTGATGCCGATGTTAAACACTTACCACTTTGGTGAAGCCTACAATCACGGCTGTTGTGCTGACAGTTCAAGATTCATCACGGCCTTGTAAATCAATGGCTGAAATAATGCTGATGTGACATTAAGTTTACCTCACCCACTCAGCGAATATGGAATCCTAACACAAGATCATAGGATTCTGGTACTCCCGGGGGACGAAACTTGACTGGGTTAATCTTGCCTTCAAATACACATGTAAAGTTTTGACTAGTGGTCACAGTTCTGTCCTTGTTCTGCAGGTGGAGGGTGACATGTCGGTGCTGCAGATGGCGTATGACAGACATTTGAGACACGCCACAGAGTTGCGAAGAAATCTGGAGGTGACGCCCGTCCGCCAGTTCATATCCAGCATACTCAATCCTTTCAGAACACGCAGATCACAAAGCATTGCTTCATAACAGTAAATATGGACACGAAGGCCGCATGGTGAATTGAAAGGGTACAAGCATTTCGTGAATGCCAAAGGTTAATAGGATTACTTGATAAGAGCAAAGACGGACAGGCGGATGATGTCCTCAAAGACAGCCGACCGGGCCACCGGATCCGGTTTGTCTCCTTTTACGACAAGCACATTTTGCTTAAGACCAATTCTAACCTGGATCTTCACAGGGGACAACTGCTTGTGAGCCGGCAGGGTGTTGGTAACCAGGGTCACCGTTTCTGGTGTCCCCTACCAGTTACCTAAACAGTGTACAGCATGAACGCTTTTTGGGTTTTAGTGTATGTGCAGCCTCCATGAACAACAGAAGAATAGGTCCTTTCAAGAACACAGCATTGCAATAGTGAGTTGTTGGTAGTGTCCCAAATACCATTGAAGTTCTTACAATCTGAACCATGAACATAACTTGGCGTTGAGCATATGGAATCTTACCCACATTACCCTGAAATGTGTGAATCACAGTTTTCGTCATTTACAATGTTGCATATTATATATTGGAAAAATGAAGATACAAAACTGTATGGATTGATTACAATGGAACCGCGTTTATCAGGACACAGTTTTCGATCAGTCGACTCTTTGGCACGTTGTAACCGTTATGTAGCATGTATTGACATTCTAAAGCAGGTCGTACGGTTTGGCTTGGTTGGTTGTTTAACGCCGCACTCAGCAATATTCCAGCCATATGACGGCGGTCTGTAAATAATTTACAATCCAGTGATTGATGTCACGACCATCGATCCATGCGATTGGGATCGATGACATGCATCAACCAAGTCAGCGAGCCTGACCACCCGATCCCGTTAGTCGCCTCTTAAGACAAGAATAGTCGTCTTTTACGACAAGCAAGGGTTGCTGAAGACCTATTCTACCCCTTATCTTCACGAGTAAGGTCGTACGAAAGCCGATGTCTCCGGATAAAGGGTCCGATATAACGAGGTCCCCATGTACATCATTAATGGGATACACATCTTGTTGGGTTCTGGCATGACGTCTTCTGTACCTCAGTGATGGTAAATATAGAAACTATTTGGTCCATCGTGTCAAACATGTTTATCTCACCCAGTGCCAATGTTGACAGCTTTACTAGTGACACAGCCACAAGTTTAAATGTCAACTTATCAGGTCACATGATGAGATAAATACGTCATTTGATAAGAAAAAACGTCGTTCTATTTATCTTGTACTGATACTGGCCTTATTTCACTCGAGTGAAGGGGCGGTCGGGTCGCCTAGTGGTTAAAGCGTTCGCTCGTCACGCCGAAGACCCGGGTTCGATTCTCGACATGGGTACAATGTGTGAAGCCCATTTCTGCTGTCCCCCGCCGTGATATTGCTGGAATATTGCTAAAAGCGGCGTAAGACCCCACTCACTCACTCACTCGAGTGAAAATATTGGTTTCATCATTTATTTGGTTTTGCATTACTCCATATGGAATAAATCTATATATTATCAGTCTCGACTCGTGAAAACACTAACCCGAAATAGGGGTATTTTTATTCATGAACGCCTCCTGATGTCCCTGGATTTCCCCGCTGACGAATATTCAGTAACGAGGGATGATATCGATGTTTATGAATCAAGTCCATGTGATACATTGATTAGATAAAATGCAAAGGTGGACGTGTGTCGTTGTGAACACATGTATGTTAGCTTATCAAGCCGACCTTGACTGTATGGGTGTTGCAGTCGTGATGGGCATGTTGGCTGATGACAACACCAGTGTGAGATGCTTGCTCCAGCAATAACACTGTGACCCCCGTCCCCATTACTCAGCTCGTGAGACACACATGGGTTACTGGGGACCTATTCTACCTGGTGGTAGATGAGATGAGGTGAGGTGAAATTGGGTTTTACGTCGCGTCCAAGATTATAGCACTCTTATAGTGTGTGTGTGTGTGTGTGTGTGTGGCTGCTTGTACTAGTCCGGACTGACGCCGATTTATAGAGCTGTCTCAATGAGATAGCATGCCGCAGTTTAACATGAATACCCCACTCAGACACAGAGTACTGACTCCGAGCCGACCAGTCCTTGTTTAGCAGCTTAATGCAGAGCGCCAGACAGGGTAACAACAAATTACACATCTTTACACCCATCCCAGTGTAACTACATCTTAATCTTAGTCCTTGTTTAGCCCCTTAATGCAGAGTGCCAGACAGGGTAACAACAAGTTACAGCCATCTTTAAACGTCTTTTGGTATGACGCGGCCGGGGATCGGACCACGGACCTTCCGCTCTCCGGGCGGACGCTCTACCACTAGACCACGGAGGCGGTCTGGGTGTAGATTAAGTGTTTGTTGTTGAATGTTGGGCTCAGTAATATTCCAGCTGTATGATCACGGCCTGTAAATAACTGAATCTGGACCACACCAGTCATTGATATTGCGAGTATCGATCAACGCATAAGGGGTACAATGACATGCTATCAACCAAGTTCGATCATCTGATTTAAATGACACACTAAAATCATGATTTGAACAAAATATGTCATCATAAGAGAAACATACAAGTCAAATCTCACTGAGCTAAGGTGAACTAAACACCCCAAAACCAAGTATTTACTGACATGAGATCTAAGCTGGTTCTCTTAACTGAGAAATAACATAACAATGTCAGACATTGCTTACATTTTATTTCATTAACTGCATTTAACAGTCAAAATACAAACAATTAAACAACATTGGTGTCAAAATGCCATAAGGTCATAAAGTAAATATGTCCAAACACTGGACATGCCCCTTGTATACAGCTGCAACATGAAGAACACAATTCATCAATAAAACCAGTAAAACCAATGGACCAATAAAGCCAAATAAAACATACATGCTCAGGCATTTTGTTCTTAAAGACAAATGGTATTCTCCTAACAGTTCGCATTATTACAGTGATATTACTGCCACCTTAAAGTCTTTAGTCTTGACCAGATAAACTAGAAGCTGATAACGATAATAAAGCCAATCCAATCCTCATATTAGCTGCCTCTTCCCACAAGAATCTGTGGATCTATCCTGCCCAAGAGTGAGTGAGTGAGTGAGTTGGGTTTAACGCCAGTTTTAACAGTATTCCAGTTATATCATGGCGTGTCAGCTTAATGTGGGAGATAAGCCCGAAGTGATGCAGATCTCAGACGTTTACCACTTCGGTGAAACCCACGAGCATGGGTATGGTGCTGACAAACTCTGCCCAAGAAGCTCAACAGGATAATTGGTTTATAATGAGCTCTGAAGCACATATCAATCTTGTTAGAGATATAAGTTGGTCATCAGTTCAAACTGATTCATACTCAGGTACCATTGCAACCATCTACTCCCCAATTTAATTACCTTTTACAAAATTTAAGCAACAAAACTCTTTCCATATTCATAAGAAGTCTATGCTGAGTGAGTGAGTGAGTTGGGTTTAACGCCGCTTTTAACAATATTCCAGTTATATCGCGGCATATCAGCTTAATATGGGAGGAAAGCTCGAATTGATGCAGGTCTCAGACGTTTACCACTTCGTTGAAACCCATGAGCACGGGTATGGTGCTAACAAACCTAGAAACATAATTGGGGCGAACCGGGATTCGAACCCACAATCATAGGTTTCTGGCGTGCCCCAGGGACGTGACTCTGCACAGCGAATCGCAGCGCCTTAGACGACTGGGCCACCCGTGCCCCCAAATCTATGCTGAACAAGAGCATGTGTTATAAATCACTATCAAATAGTGATGATACCAGGTGTTCCCAAGGAGGTGACTGAATCCTGCCGCAACTGTAACACCCATCACAAACACATGCATTGGCAAGCCAACTATTCACCTGAAAAAAACCACAGGTACATTATGGTACAAGTCAGAATGGGGAATCACATTGTACATCATTTTTGTCACTGATGCATCAAATTTGGAAATTTCCTCCATATGTCTACTATAAAACGTTTTGAAAGCTTTAGTGAGGCTTTGAATGTTGTCAACTTGATCCAACAACTTCTGAGCAAGAGTTGTATGACACTCTTTGAAATATAGGTAGAAAGAGCATGCTCGACTGTACCTCACAAGTTGTGAAATGTCAACACCAAAGGCTGGAGCTGCTGGAATATAGCTCGACATAAAGGGAAAGTTGAAGTCATCCATACCTCTTGTCATACAGTCTTGTGGAAAGTGTTTTGTCACTCTGAATCTATATGCCAAAAAACATACGTTCATGAAGTACTCTGAGTTTTACATACAAGAACAAAGAACAAAGTTCATTTCATTAACAAACAGAGAATCTCACCCTTTTGTCCTCTGATATCAAATACATCAACATGGATCGACAAAAGCCTCAGCAAACCTCAGAGTTTTAAACTTTTATATATATTTGGGTTGATAAGTTTGTAAAAAGTAATAAGCAGGGTCCGGTGTGTAAAAGGTATAGCTAACCTGCTTCAGTAGCAGAGGGATAAGTGATGTCATGTGATTGTGACATCATGCTTAATGATGATGTCACAATGGTCTGCAAAGCACTGTTATGCAACTGATCTCACACAAGCAATATCTCCTGTGGAAGTGGTGCATCCCCTATTGGCCTACGTCCCATATGGCCTGAAGAAACAGAAATGACCTTTCCCGTTTGGCCCACCACAGATTATTTTAAACAACCTACACCCCTATTGAGAAATATCTTCCTTGGCATTTGCAGATGCAGTAGGAATCCTTATTAAATTACATTAAAAAGATTCTGTAAGCTTGTATTTCTCTGTTGTTGGACTGGTTCATTTTTATCACTCTGAGGGCGACGGGTTATTAACGAGTGATCAACCAACCGATTACTTACCATAATTAAATCCTCTAAAAGCGTAGGCCAAATGGGAAGTAGGCAAATGGGGAGGACACTGTGGAAGCCAGTTTTGGATTATAAAAGTGGTTACATACGCGAACATAAAACCTACACAAGAGTTCCGTTACCCCCTGCCCCCAACAAAGCTCTTGTCACAGAAGCTGTCACAGAAGCTAACATACAAGCAGCAACACAACATCAACCATTTGTACACAAGTTTTTCAGGGTGAAATGGAATTAGGTTCAAAACCTCCCCACTCAGAATTACTGCACAAATTACTGGTACAGATAAAAAGCAGGGCAAGGTGTTCCTCACCTGAGGGGTTAGATATCCAAAAACACAGAGTCATCCAGAGTCATTATGTTTGTATGAAGTCTTTGACAGGCATTTAAAAGTTGGGAGAACATGAATACATGACACTTTTTAATGGATAGCAACTTCTCTAATTCTTTGTACGACATTTCAGAGCTACTTCTTGCTCCTTCTTCAGGTTGATTGGTTGGTTGGTTTGTTATTTAACGCCGCACTCTGCAATATTCCAGCTATATGACGGCGGTCTGTAAATAATCGAGTCTGGACCAGACAATCCAGTGATTGACATCATGAGCATCAATCCACGCAATTGGGATCGATGACATGCTTCATCAGGTAATTCATCAGATGAAGGAGCATGCAGTTGCTCTGAAGGATCATACAAGTCAGTCCAGATTTTCATGGCTCCCGTCACAGTTCATGATTTAACATTGAGGCTTAAAAAATAAAGGAAATGGTTCTCAGGCAATGGTTTTTAGAAATATAGTGCAGGCAGGCAGTGTCTTTTATTTTTGCTTGTTCAAACTGGTATGTAACCAAATAAACACTTGTATACAATCAACCTGGGAAAGGGCCTCCCTACATATATGTATTCCGGGGTGAGCAAAATACTGGAAAATGTTGGACTAGGAAAATTTACGGATTTGTTTGTTTCTAAAAATGGAAATATAAAAGAAACATGCGGCGACCTTTATGATGATGTGGGCGGTTCCTGAGAACCAAGACTATTATTTTTTTTAAAGCCTAACACACATGCTTGTAAATATTCAAAGTTACAGACTGCATACCAATCGACTTCTTCTTCTGAAGTTCTTTATCAAACCATGAAAAGATATGCTCTTTTAAAATAATGTTTGTTGTGTAACGCCGCACTCAGCAATATTCCAGCTATATGACGGCAGTCATAAATAATCGACATCATGAGCATCTATCCTCACAATTGGATACGATGACATGCATCAACCAAGACAGCAAGTCTGACCACCCAATCCCGTTAGTCGCCTCTTATGGCAAGCATAGTCGCCTTTGACAGCAAGCATGGGTTGCTGAAGACCTCTTCTATCCCAGGTCTTTAAAGTAATGTATGTGAAATTGGATTTACTTATGAAATTCCATGGCCTTTTCAAGGCACATTATGAAGAGTGGAGATCTTTTCAAGGAACATTAAAAAGTCAAGGCTATTTCAAGACAATCTTCTTCATGATGTTTCTGTGAGCTTAAAATGGAGCCTTGCAGGGTATGAAACTCCCAAACATTTCAGCCAGACCACAGGACTGGCTAGCTGAAATACTTCCCAGCCCTGACCAAAA